ATAAAGGTATCCATTCAGCTAAGGAATCTGAAGACCACCAGACAAATGAGACATCTGAAGAAAATGGACAAATCATCTAGAAAAAAATCACAAGAGTAAAATGGCCTATTGGTGTATCACATTTACAATAGGATAAAATTTCATAAATCTTCCCCTGCTACACTCTACAGACATATAATGCAAATGGTCTTTTGTAGTCCCAGTCCAGTTAAAGATTAAACTGGCTTTGAAGGTGGAGTGTGGCTCTCTCCTTCTCTCAACCAAGCATGCTTATTTTAAAGTGAAATCCAAAATCTCTGTCTCATGTCAGAAGAGTCAACTGATATGACAGAAGAAAAACAAAAACTTAAGGACTATTTTATTGTTACTAATCTCACAATCCTTTGATTTTTTTTACATTAACTCTTTAAACAGCATTTCAAAGTATAAGATTAATATATATATTTAAAACTTTTTGTCACAGTATCAGTGGTCATATAGAGTACTATTGAATTCTAGAAAACGGTTTCCTCTACCTTTCTGCACATGATTTCTGGTCTGAGTCTCTATTAGTTTTCTGTAGTGAACCATGAGCATGCCTAACAGCGACCTTTGCAGTCTCCAAAAGGAGAATGGGCCCACAATGACTCCTCCAGGACTATGATAACACTGCTAAGCTGAAAAACACCACCTAAATATCAGCCTTTGAACTACAAACTGCTCAGAACAATTTCAAGGTGGCTAACTGAGATGATCCATCCTAACATCCTACCTTAGCCAGGACCTGAGATGAGCCCTGCACTTTCCAATTACAGAGACTGGACAACAAATGGTACAGCTAGCTAGCTCTCCCAGGATTGACAATTAATACAAAATTTTCCTTAGGGTTCCCTAAAGATACTGTTGCCCCAAGACAGCAGAAAGTAAATTTAAGAATACGATGCCCACATTCCCAAGAGGTGAGGTGGATGGTTTTGGTTGTTCAATGGGTTATGGATATTTGTCATTGTTTAGAAGGTCTGGTTATAAGTTGTTATTGGTTATGGTCAGGAGGAAAGTTGAACAAGGGAGATTAGACTCAGAGTTCTTGTTTTGAAAAGAAAAGAAGGGGGATATAGATGACAGGATAAAAGGGTAGATTATTTATTCTACTCTGGAAAGAAAAAAGGAAGGATATATTTATAAGATAAAAAGGTAGATTATTGAATCTACTTTTAAAAATCAACTACTAGTTTTATATGTTTTACATTGGATTTTTATATACTGTAATGCAAATTTTATATATTGATACAAATTTGAGATTAATTTTGTTAGAACATACATACATACATTTCTACTCTTGTTCAAGGTATTGTACCTATACAACTCATTTAACAATGTAATGCAAATTTCTAGTCCTTGAAAATTATTACTAACATTGAGGATAAGAATACAGGTTAGCAGTTAATCACTTATTTTAATCAAACTTGTAGTCACATTAGGAATGTTTTTAGGGTCAATCAAAGATATATTTTAGATAGACAGGTCACCTTCAAGCACTTCAGAGATCTACAGAATATGGCCTTTAAGATGTTTTAATAACATAGATTTATAAATGACAATGAGACATATGTGCTCCTGGCTGCACCAATCTACTTCAGAGAACATAATGGGCATAGAAGAAAACTCCACAATGGAGTTTACTTTGTGGCAAAAGTAAGCCACTGGGCAAGAAAATGCCCTTGCCTTGACTACTGACAGTATGATGTCCTATTTGGACAAGCAGAAACAAAAGAAAGTGACTGACAGACATTGTCAAGACAAGAAGGGACAGCTTCAAGATATTCTGCTTTACAGAAAAGTCTGTCAGATATGCTATGTTGCGGGAGGTCCTTCTGCTCCTCCAACCAATAGCTGCTGAGATACCAGCCCATTGGGGCGTGGTCTCTCTCCCTTTAAAAAAGCGGCTACTTCCCTCCGTGCTCTCTCTCTTCATTTCCTGCTCCACTGGCGACTAGACTCCCTGGTTGCACAGAGGGCTGTTGTCTGGGACGGTGATCTGTAAGTTTTTTCCTCTTTAAATAAATACCACCCTATTAATCATAATTCCAAACTGGTGTGGCATTGTTTGTGACTTACACCTTCAATGCTAGGCCTGTAGGCTGAAGATGGATGTCCCAATGGTGCAGAGGACTATGGGTGACTGTTTCTGTCATTTCTCACATTTTTTGGAAGTCGCTTACTTACACTTACTACTTACTTAGTTAATATTATTTCCTTCTTGGGTCTCTGAGGGTGTGGAAGATTAGATAGTTATAGTTTTCCTTGTTTACCAGATACAGAAAGCAGGTTATGGTAGAAAGTAAATTAGGTACAAGACTTTGGACTCACCAAGAAAGGACAGATAATGGAGTATTTTCTCTGAATTTGTCAAATGCAAATGGACTAGACATTAATATATTTGTTGTTTGTATTTGTTGTTACTGTATTTACTGTATAGTTTTTCTTATATTAGATATAACCTTTTATTTTAGACAAAAAGAAGAAATATAGTGGTATATATCATTTGGGTTTTGAAGACCAGTGCAAAGTAGCCACACTAATCAGTCATACAGACCAGGCAGTGGTTGTACACACCTTTAATCTCAGCAACCACACTCTTTAGCCAGGCAGTGGAAGGAGAGTTACAAGCCCCAAAAGTTGTCCTTTGACCTCTGCACATGACTCTGTACTCTCCCACACATGAAAATAATCAATATGTGAGTAACTGGTCAGGCCACACTTATGGAAGAACAGGGCCAGAGGAACATGACAAGAACTAAGCAGGCTGTGATGCTAACAGGAGTGGGAATATGCCACTGTCATGTGAGATTCAAACACTGTCACTGATGACTAAAGGATGAACACTCAAGAGCTGGGGCTGTTCAGGGAACAGCAGCCACAGAAAATGGAAGGCAATCCAATGGCCTAGCTGGGATTCCCAAGACTGGTTCCAAGCTGAGCATGTCAGATCAAAGTTCTACTACAGAGAGTCTAGGAAAGCACCCGGGAAACAGTCTAGAAGTAAAGTGCTACGTAAGACTCAAGTTTAATGCCCAGAACTCACATTAAAATCCAGGCATGGTGGTGCATACTTATAATCCCAGTCATGACAAGATAGGTGGAGGAAACAAGCAGACCTCTAGAAGCTTGGTGGCCTGCTAGCCTATCCTACTTGGCAAAGCTAGGTTAATGCACACAAAACACACACAGGGAGAAACAGAGAAGGGGGTAGGAGAAAGGAAGGCAAAGAAAGAGAGGAAAGGAGAGAGAGAACAGCAGTATGTACACATGCAGCCACACAGATCCACATACCCACAAGGTCTGGGAAAACAGATGTCTATGTCTCTACTGAATGTGACAAGAGCCAAAGAGGAGAGATCCCTGACTCTCAGCTTAGTTCCCAAGTTCTCTAAAGACCCAGAGGATGGGGTCAAAAAGTCATACCCACAAAGGAACTGACTGGTAGCATCTGCCAAGCAGACAGCAGTGCTTCAGAGATGGTATGAGCGCATGGATGAATGAGCCTTTCATGGCCCCTCCTCTGAAGCCACTTTTGTAGACAGAGGGGCATCAAAGGGCAGATTTACTGCAGGAGCCCGCTCAGCAGCTGCTTCCTTCTTCTTCCTTGTTTAACTTCTCTCAGGAGAGCAGGGCTCTGAACCTGGCTGAACAGGTGTTTAAGGCAGGCAATTTTGTTCCCATTAATTGTCTTAAGTAATAGCAGAGCAGACTGGAAGGTTATCTTGTGTACTTGAGGGGACACTCTGTCCTGCACATACTCAATCACAAGCTGACACTACCTGACAGCAATGCCAAGTTCTGCTTTTTTCAGGTTTCGGCATCTTCAAATTTTGAATTCTGGTAGTTAGTGAACTGAAAAACCTCAGCACCACAAATACAGCCTACAGCCAGGCATAATGGTGTACCCCTGTAATTCTAGTACTCCTTTGTTTTGTTTTCTTGTTTTTGTTTTTGGAGACAAGGTTTCACACTATGTAACTCTGGCTGTCCTGGAACTTAGACCAAGCTGGCCTTGATCTCAGAGATCTGCCTGCTTCTGCCTCCTGCATACTAGGACTAAAGTTGTGTGTCCACGCCTAGTTTACTGCTGCCCAAATTAATCCTACTACTCTTGAGGCTGAAACGGGAGAATTGTGAGTTCCAGGTCAACCTGGATTACACAAGGAAACCCTATCTCCAAAAACAAAAAGGAGGACTGGATATCTGGCTCAGTCTGTAAAAGCACATATTGCTCATGCAGAGGACCAGAGTTCAGGTCCCTGCCCTACACCAGAAGGCTCACAACTGCCTATAACTCCAACTCTAAAGGATGTGACATCCTATTCAGATTTCACAGGCATCTGCGTTCATGTGAATACACCAATAGATACACGAACACAAACATAAAATTCAAACATACAAACACATCTACAGCAGGCTGGGACTGTGGCTCGGTTGGTACAGTGCTCGTCTAGTTTGTATACACTAGCACACAAAAGGTCCAGGGTCCCATCCCCAGTACTACACTAATCAGACTGTGGTGGCACAGTCCTGTAATTTTAGCAGTTAGTAGAGACAGGAGGATCAGGAGGAGTCCAAGGTCATTCTCAGCTATATAGTGAGTTTCAGACCAGTCTGGCCTATATGAAATTATCTCTAAACACTGTAACAAAAAGAGAAACTCAGTTCTTCTAAGTCCAGCTAAACTGTCACACTAATGACCTCATCCATTGTTTCAGTTCTAAGGAACTTTAAAGAGTTTAATTTTACAAACCACAAAAAAGTCTTTTGAATGGGAAGTTTCAGGACATGTCAAATATGAATGTAACCTCCAAGTCTTCCTCCCTCAGTGACCCACTCTGTGGGAAGGCCCCAACAGTGTTATTTTGTCGTATGCTGTCCTCAGTGGAGATAACCACTGGTCACCAAGACTAGCTGAGGAGGACATCTTCCCCAATGGACAGAACCCTGAATTCTCTCATGCATGCTCAGCCCCGTACCTTCAGTTTCCTCCCACTGAGGAGCCGCCCCCACAGGGAGCAAACATCCGGTGACACATCTCTTTCTCTCTGTCCACGTAGTCCCTGTAGTGGCTGTGGAAAGAAAGGCAAGCTTTGTAGGTTTGCAGGAGGTGACATCTGGTGGCTGGAATTCTCTGGTAACAGAGACACTTAAAAGTCTGCATTGGAGGTCAGGTGGTAGTGGTGCATGCCTTTAATCCCAAAGCTACAGAGAAACCCTGTCTTAAAAAATTTTTTTAAGAAAAGTCAACTTTGGACAGCAGCCAATGGGGATGACACTGTGGACAGGCAAGGCTAAGCTCACTAAGGATGGTCCTAGACACGAGGCCCTCATTTGGAAAGACAACAGCTGGGAAGGCAGAAGTCACTGTCAGTGGGCTCAAGCCAAGTCTTGCCAAATTACTCCTTGCACTAAGTGACTTCTGAGTCATTTTGAGATGTTCTTGCTAAGGAAAGGTCAGCTTCCCCCCATAATTCAGTATCTAACCTGAGAAGAGTCTTTTCCATACCAGACAGGAGCTCCTGGGAAACCCAAAGAGAACAGCAGCATAGTGGCTGCATTCAAATAAAAATGATACACACAGAGCTGGAGAGATAGCTCAGAGGTTATGAGCACTGGTTGCTCTTCCAGAGGTCCTGAGTTCAATTCCCAGCAACCACATGATGGCTCACAACCATCTGTAATGCGATCTGATGCCCTCTTCAGGCCTGCAGGGATACATGCAGGAAGAACACTATATACATAATAAATATATCTTAAGAAGAAAAAAAAAGTGATGGATACACCTTAAAAACTTCAGCAATGGGATCAAATGTTTAAGGTTAAGGAGAGACCCTCACCAAGGCAGAAAATACATGTTAAAAATGGTGGCTGTCGCTGGGCGATGGTGGCACACGCCTTTAATCCCAGCACTCGAGAGGCAGAGGCAGGTGGATCTCTGTGAGTTCGAGACCAGCCTGGTCTACAAGAGCTAGTTCCAGGACAGGCTCCAAAGCCACAGAGAAACCCTGTCTCCAAAAACCAAAATAAATAAATAAATAAATAAAATAAAATAAAATAAAAAAAATGGTGGCTGTCCAGCCTGGTCTACAAGAGCTAGTTCCAGGACAGGCTCCAAAACCACAGAGAAATCCTGTCTCAAAAAACCAAAAAAAAAAAAAATGGTGGCTGTCTGCTGGGCAAGGTGGCACGTGCCTTTTAACTGCAGCACATGGGAGGCCAGTCACACAGTCTGGCCTTGAACTCTAAAGAGATCCACCTGCCTCTGTCTCCCAAGTGCTGGGATTAAAGGCATGCGCCACCACCACTTGGCCTTAAGTATAGTTTTTAAAAATATTATTTTTTTTTTTTTTGTGGCAAAGTTTGTAAAGCTCTAGCTGTCCTGGAACTCACTCTGTAGACAGGGTAGTCTTAAACTCAAAGACCCACCTGTCTGGTTCCTGAGTGCTGATTTCAAGACTTTATCGTGGGAGATCTTTTTGTACATTTATTTAGCATGCACATGTACAAACCATGTATGGAGGTCAGAGGATAACTTGTAGTCAATTCTTTCCTTCTACTATGTAGGTCCTAGGATCAGAATGCCAAGAACTCTTAACTGCTGAGTCTCCTCACCAGCCCTTTGGTTTTTGAGTGACTTATTTTATATCCTAGAAGGTCTGCATTTGAGATCTTCTTGCCTCAGGATCTCAAGTTCTAGGACTACTAGAGTGGACCACCATACTTGGTTTGTACAACACCCTTTTAAGGTCACATGGGGGACTACAGAAATAGCTCAGTTGGTAAAGTGCTCAGCACCATGTTAAAAAACCAGACCCAGTGAGTAGAGCGTGTCTGTAATTCCAGCATGGGGTGTCAGTGGGGGTGGGGGCAGGGTCAGACAGGAGGATCTTTTTTTTAATTAATTTATTTATTTATTAAAGATTTCTGTCTCTTCCCTACCGCTGCCTCCCATTTCCCTCCCCCTCCCCCAATCAAGTCCCCCTCCCTTGTCAGCCCAAAGAGCAATCAGGATTCCCTGCCCTGTGGGAAGTCCAAGGACCACCCACCTAGACAGGAGGATCTTTGAGACTAGCCACAGTCCAGTCTAACTGCTGGACCCCAGCACAACACTCAAGGTTGCTTTCTGGCCTACACATATAAATATACACAAAGGGGTTGTGAAGACTCACTTCTCTAGGAAGGGCTCATCTGCAGGGTGGTACAACAGGAAGGAGGGAAATGCTCAGAAGTGAAGCTTCTTCCCCACTAAGGAACAGCCAGTACAGATCAATGAGCATGCAGGTGGGGTGACTGCCTCTGAGCCAGTTTGGGACAACATTCTTAGCCTGTCCTCTATCCAGATGGTTGGACTAGAATTCTTACAGCTACCTCTCACTGTACCTCTGGTCACACTCCTGCCCCCGGCTCTCACCTGGACAGCTTCTTCAGCTCATTATTGATGTCATGGTTGCAGGGCTGCTCCTTCTGAGCTCGCACTAGAAAATCCCGGGCCTGCTCGTACTCAGTTAGAAGGAGGCAAGCCTGTGAGGAAAGAACAGGGCATTAGATTAAGAGATTAGCATTTGTGGTAGTGGTCCAAGTGAGACCGACTGCTCTGTGTAGGAGTGCGTAAGTGCACATGTGGATGGAGACCACAGGTCAACCTGGCTTCCTCTGGGATCCAGGACTCCCAATTCATCTAGGCTGACTAGCCAGAAAACTCTAGGGACCTACCTGTCTCTGCCTCCCCAGTGAGGGGATATAGCCCCCTGGGCTCTGGAGAATGAACTCAGGCTCCCAGGCTGGCATGCCTGGCAAGTCCTTTATTGACTGAGTTATTACCCCAGCCCCTCTCCCCGCTTCCTTCTCTCGGGCACTTACCCTCAACTCACCTGTCCACACCGGAAGAGAGCCTTGGCGTTCCTTTGGTCAATGAGCAGAGCCTGCTCCCCATAGCGCAGGGCCATGGCAGGTCGGTCTAGCTTCAGATACACAAAGGACAGGTTAAGGAGGACCAGAAGCTCAGCAGGCTCCACTAGGTTCTGCTCCTCACAGATTGCCAAGCGTCGGTGAAGCAGCAACAAGGCCTGAGGAAAGGAGGGAAGACAAAGGGTAAGGAGGGACCGTCCTAAGTCTTTACAAATCACACAGAACTATGACCTAAGGAAGATATTCATCTAGCTGTCAGGAAACAAGGTTATTATATTAAAGTCAGGAGGCTTCTTTTTCTATGTGTGGGATAGGATGTGTGCATGTGAATACAAGTGCCTGTGGAGGTCAGAAGAGAGTGTTAGATCTTCCTGGAGCTGGAGTTACATGTAATCCTGTGCTTCCTAATGTGGATGCTAGGAACTGAACTCAGGTCCTCTGCAAGAGCAATACATGCTCCTGACCACTGAACCAGCTCTCTAGTCCAGTTTGAAGGTTTCTAGCAAAAGGCATATAAACCTGAGTGAGGGAGACAACATGTGTCCTCTATTCTTTTGCCTCAAAAGTAATAAGGACAGTATATCCAACATGAGCCAAGGACTAGCTAAATTCCTGGCACCCACATCAGGTGGCTCACAACTGTGTGTAACCCCAGCTCCATTAGTCACAGCACTTTTACATGCACACATTCCCCAAACAGAAACAGAAACACAGTTAAAAAACAGACATATGGTTTTGAGAAAGTATCTCTCTCTATAGCCCTGGCTGTCTTGGAACTCACTCTGTAGACTAGGCTGGCCTCAAACTCACAGAGATCTGCCTGATTCTGCCTTCTGTCTACTGGGTTAAAGGTGTGCGCCACCACACCTGGCTTCTATTTTATGCAATTTTATTTTATGTATGGATATTTTGCTGTATGTATGTGCCTTACATGTGTGCCTGGTACCCAGAGATCAGGAGAAGGCATCATATTCCCTGGAGTTTTATTTATGAGTTACAGATGGTAGTGAGTCACTATATAGGTGCCATGACTTGGGTCCTCTGTAAGAGAAGTGCTCTAATTTGCTGAACCATCCTTCAGCACCCCATCCCTGCTTTTTGAGACAGGGTTTTTTTTTTTTTTTTTAAGACAGGGTTTCTCTGCGGCTTTGGAGCCTGTCTCTGGAACTAGCTCTTGTAGACCAGGCTAGCCTTGAACTCAGAGATCTGCCTGTCTCTCTCTGCCTCTCAAGTGCTGGGACTAAAGGCATGTGCCACCACCGCCCAGCTTGAGACCGGGCTTTTTTTTTTTTTTTTATAGCCCTGGTAGTCATGGAACTCAACATGTAGACCAGGCTTGCCTTGACCTCACAGAAATCTGCCTGCTTCTGTCTTCTAAATACTGGGGCTAAGGTATGTACCACCATGCTAGCCCCCCTTTTTAATTTTTGAGATAAATGTTTCATATAGTCCACGTTGGGTCTCAAACGCACTACGTAGCAAAGGATGACCTTCAATTTCTTGTTTTTAATTACGTGTATGCATTGTGTGTCTGTGTGTTGTCTGTGGGTATATGCACATGGGTGCAGGTGGTAGTGAAGACAGATAACAGATCCTTTGGAGCTGCCAAATGGGAATGCTGGGAACAGAATCCAAGTCTTCTGTACTCTTAACTGCTGAGCCATGTCTCCAGACCTAGCTTCAACTTCTCATCCTCCTGTCTCCAACCAGGGATTATACCTGGTTTATGCAATTCTGAAGCTGAAACCCAGGGTTTCATGAATGTCGTCACTAACTGAGCTGAATCCCCAGCCCAGGAGGTCTGTTTTCTGGAGAAATGGAACAACAAAGACTACTGACTCTGGAATGGGCAAATGGGAGTGCTGCTAATGGGTGTGTGGACTAGTACTGTTTCCACAGCAGAGAGCCAGGCCTCTGTCCCACTTCTGCTTATCCCATAGCTCGCAAGGTAGCTTGAAACCTAAACAGCCTCAGAGGAGTGACACCAGTCTCTATGGTAAGAGGGACAGAAAATCCTGTAGATGGCAAACACGATGGAAAAAATCAGCTACAACTGGTGGTGGTAGTGATGCTGGGATGAGGATTTTTTAAAATAAACTTTTTTTGGAGCAGTAATAGGGATTTTTTATACTTATATGTATGCATGTTTATGTGCACAAGTGCACACATACCTATGGGCGTATGTACATGCAAGTGCATGTGGAGACCGGAAGATGACCTCAGGTACATGCCTCAGGAGCCATTCACCTTGTTTTTTCAGACAGTCTCTCACTGGCCTGAACCTTGCCTAGTAGATCAGACTAGTTGGCCAGGGAGCCCCAGGAATCTGCTGCCTCTGTCTTCCCCATTTTGGGATTACAAGTAGGCACTACCAAACCTGGCTTTTTTAAGTATGGGTTCTCAGGACAAAGATTATAATGCTTGCTTTCAGCACTTTACTGAGCTATTTTCCCACCTCCCCAGGAAGGTAATTCTTGAAATACCAAATTAAAATACATAAACACATGGGTAAGAAAAAAGTTCACAGCTTAATGAACTTTCATAATTCAAATATACCAGGAAAACATCATGATCAACATCCAGGCCAGACATGGTGTGCACACCTTTCATCCCAGCACTTGGAAGGCAGAGGCAGGTGTATCTCTGTGAGTTCAAGAACAACCTAGTCTACAAAACAAGTTCTGTCCAGCCAAGAGTACACAGTGAGACTCTTTCTCAAACAGACATACAAACAAAAAAAGAATCAACATACAGAGCCAAGTTTGTATCTTATACCTATAACTCCAGCACTTAGGAGGCTGAGTTAGGATTACCATAAACTTGAGGTCAGTCTGGGCTAGACAGTGACCTTGTCTTGGAAAGCAAAAGGAAAAAAGATCAACATAGAGAACATCACCTCACATCACCCAGTCCCTACTCCCCCTCAGTCATTTCCTTCTAGCACAAGAATTTTCTCTGTGTATAATGTATATGGTGTATGTACATGTGTGGGTACATTGGTGTGGCCATTAGGAGGCCACAGGACAATGTCAAGTGTCCTGCTACAGTACTCTACCTCAACAATTCTCAACCTGTGGGTTGAGACCCCTTGGGGGGGGTCGAAGGACCCTTTGACAGCAGTCGCCAAAGACCATTGGAAAGCACAGATATTTACATTATGATTCATAACAGTACAAAATTGCAGTTATTAAGTTGCAACAAAAATAATTTTATGGTTAGAGGGGTCACCACAACATAAAGAACTGTATTAAGGGTCATAGCATTAGGCATATGGAGAACCACTACTTTACCTTATTCCTTTAGACAAGATCTCTCACTGAACTTGGAGCTAGGTTTCAAGTCTCAGTAATCTTCTTGTCTCTGCCTCCCTCAATAATGGGATTGCAGTACACGTGGCCATACTTGGCTTTAAAAAAAATCCTTTATGTGTAAGTATGCAAACTCATGTAAACTTACATATATCATGTGGGTGAAGAAACCCACAGAGGTCAGAAGGGGGCATGAGATTCCCTAAACTTGAGTTACAGGCAGCTGTGAGCCATATGGATGCTGGGAACCAAACTCTGGTCTTCTATAAGAGCAGTAAATATTCTTCTCTGTTACACCATCTTTCCAGCATCCATGCTGGGCATTTTATATAGCTACTGGGATTTCAACACAGATCTTCATGCTTATAAAGCAAACACTCTTACTCATTGAACTATCTCCCAAGCCCCTCTTTTAGTTTGTTGAGACAGGGTTTAGCTAATAAGCCAGGCTGGCCTGGAATTTATAATCCCCTTGCCTTAGCTTCCTGGGTGCTGGGATTACAGGAATGAACAACCAGGCCCATCTTAATGTGATTTTTTTTTTTTTTTACTGAGACAGAGTTTCTCTGTGTAGCCTTGGCTGTCCTGTAACTCACTCTTTAGACCAGGCTGGTCTCTGATGGAGGAGTTAATTTCATTGGTTAATAAAGAAACTGCCTTGGCCCGTTTGATAGGTCAGCCCTTAGGTGGGTGGAGTAGACAGAACAGAATGCTGGGTAGAAGGAAGTGAGGTAAGACGCCTCAGACAGACGTGATGAAGCTCCAGCCCAAGATGGACGTACACTAGAATCTTTCCCGGTAAGAACCACCTTGTGGTGCTATACAGATTATTAGAAATGGGTTAGTCAAGATGTGAGAGTTAGCCAAGAAGAGGCTAGATGTAATGGGCCAGGCAGTGTTTAAATGAATACAGTTTGTGTGTTGTTATTTCAGGGCATAAGCTAGCCAGGCAGCCGGGAGCTGGGTGACAGGAATGCCAATCCGCTGCTCACACTACAGGTCTCACACTCAGGGATCTGCCTGCCTCTGCCTCCTGAGTGCTGGGATTAAAGGCATGCACCAACACTGCCTGGCTTACTGTGATTTTATTAGCAGATGCCCAAGAAGAATAGCAAAGAGATGAAGATTATGCTCTTAAGTTTCCTGGAGCTGGAGCGATGGCTCAGAGGTTAGGAATATTGGCTGCTCTTCCAGAAGATTTAGGTTCGATTCCCAGCACCACATGGTGGCTCAAACTGTCTGCAACTCCAGTTCCTAAAATCAATTCTTAGGGATCAGATGTCCTCTTCTGGCCCTGTAGTCACCAGGCATGCATGTAGTGGACAGACAGATATGCAGATTGCACACCCATCCACGTAAAATTTTTAAAGATGAAAGTATTCTGGATCATACACTTCCAGAGCATTCTTACCCGCTTGTATCTCACTTTGGCATCACAGAAGCGGTTCTGGCGGAAAAGATAGTTGCCAAACTCCCTCTCAGTTGCTGCTACCTTGAGGACCTTCTGAAGTGGAAACTGTTCTTGCTGCTCCTGAAGACCAAAGACAAGCGCAGTGACATGGAACAAGAAGCCCCAGTGGCACAACGGCAGTCATGCTACATTCATCAAAATTTCCCTCTAGGACCATAAACTCTGTTTAGTCCCCTGTGTGTGCAGAGGCCACACATGTGGATGCTGGAACAGGCCCACCTACAGAGCAGTGCGGGTGTCAGTGGCTGCTGTGATCCTCCTCAGATTCCCCCAGAAGCAGAAGCATCCATAGAACCTGAGGGAGTCTGCCAAGCTCAGAAAACTTTGGCACTTCCTGGTTGGTTCAGGTCTCTGGGGTTCTTTATGCTCATGCTGCTATCCTGGTTTCCTATCAGAACCTCCTGCAAAATCCTATCCAGAGTCCCAAATTAGAACCCAGGTAAGTACAGGACCATTTACTCTGTGGAAAGATGTGGGCAAGGTGAGACACTCAACTGAGGTACTGACAGCTTTAATGTACTGTAGAAGACCCAATCATATGGAGAAGCAAAATCTGGAATGAATGCACAGATACCACCACACATGCAGTCGGTAGATGACAACATCATAGAGACATGCATGTGATTGTTGATGGGATTATACACTGTGCTTCTATGGGCTGGGAGTGAAGGACTGCATAGGAACCAAGACTTGGGTTGTAAGGATTGTGACCCAGTACCCTGAGATTGTCTTAGCTTGCACCTCAGTCGTAATTATCTAGTAAAAGCCTCTTTCAGTTCTCAAGGAGGCACCAATTCTCTAGCTTGTTTTTATGGTCCTGGCGATGAAACCTAGGGTTTGTTAATGTTGTCACTCTAGGCAAGAACTCTATCACTGAATTATATCTCCAAGCCTCAATCACCTTCATTAAAGCTACCAGGGCCTAACTTCCTGAAAAGCAGTTACCACCTTATAGTGAGAACTAAGCAAAGGGCCACTAAAATAGCAAACAGCTAATACAGAACCAATCTATACCTTACAGTGTATGTTTTACCTTGGACAGACTTGAGAAGATACCACTGTGTTGGAGGCATGGGTGGAACCTGGAACAGGCAATCTGACAGAAATATCCAAATACAATTCAATCCCTCCCCTTTAGAAAGTACTGGAAAATCTGAGGTATTGAACTTACAGCTGAGAGTGCACAAAACTTGTCTGACTCAGCAGAATCAAGGAAGTCAATCAGCTCAATCTCAAACAGGACAGTGGCATTTGGAGGGATGAGGGGCGGGCACCCCAGGGTGCCATAAGCATAGGTTGGCTTGAACAGGAACCTAGCCAGCTCCCCTCTGCGCATGCTTAGAAGGCCCAGCTCCATGCCCCAGAGTGTAATATCTGGAAGAAAGGACAGAGAACTCAAATGACGCTCACCCGCATCCCATTCAAAGTCACGAGTTTCTCCCTACTCCAAGTGTATGTGCCAATCCAAGTCTTTTGCCCTGGTGCCCCAACTCAATGCCCGGTCTTGTCTCTGCTGTCCTGCTTTCTCCAAATGCCATCTTTCACAGGCTCCATCTCTATCACATGCTCTGTTCTTTCTTCAAAGCTCTCTTCCCTCAATGTCTGTGGGCTGCTCTAACTGAAATTCTTCAGGATTTTTTCCTTTATGTTTATGTATGTTTTGCCTATATGTACCACATTCATGTAATGCCCTCAGAGACCAGAAGAGGGCATCAGATCTCCAAGAACTGGAGTTACAGATGGTTGTAAGCCATCACGTGGGTGCTGTAAATTGAACCTAGTTGGCTGGAAAAGCAGTCAGTACTCTTAACTTTAGAGGCATCTATCTCTCCACTCCCCTAGTTGAGATCTTATTCAAACCTCAGGACTCTCATCTCAAGCTTTCTTTTCTATGTAGTGCATGTGGCCCTGCCAGAAGGAAAGTAATTATAATTTCATTAAGCAGACCCAGAACATTCCCCAAAGCTCCATATTTCATTCAATTCTATGAAGTTAGTTTCTGGATTAAAGGCCAACCTCCCCCACCCTAGTAACATGCACAAGGACAGGGTTCTCATCATCTGGGCATGGTCTGAGATCTGTGTGTGTTGTTGTGTATTACATGTGCATGTGGATGCTAAGGGACAATCCTAGGTCACACTCCTCAGGTGGCATCTACCTTGCCAGGATCTCTCATTGTCCTGGAGTCTGGTAAGTAAGCTAGGCTGATTGGCCAGAGAGCCCCAAGGATCCATCTGTTTCTGCCTGCCTCTCTACACTGAGATTATAAGCATACACTATCACATTTGGCCTTCTTTTAAAAATTATTTATTTATTTATTTATTTATTTATTTATTTAATTTATTTATTTATTTTGGTTTTTCGAGACAGGGTTTCTCTGTAGCTTTGGTGCCCGTCCCGGAACTAGCTCTTGTAGACCAGGCTGGCCTCGAACTCCCAGAGATCTGCCTGCCTCTGCCTCCTGAGTGCTGGGATTAAAGGCGTGCACCACCACCGCCCGGCTTGTTTTTTTAAATGTGGGTTCTGTGGGATGGAAAATAGGTCCTCATGCTTGTACGGCAAGCACTTCACTGACTGAGCCATTCTCCCAGATCCTACAATTTCACCACACATGCTGGGGAGTTAAGTATTCACTACATTTATTTGATAAATGCACAAGGAAAAGTGCCCAGTGGATCCATGTGCATGTTTATCATTTCCTCACTCAGCGCTGGGGCAGGAGGCTTTTGAATTCAAGGTCAGTGTGGGCTGTACAGTGAGATTCTGTCTTAAAAGATGCCCTGTAGCTGGAGAGATGTCTTAGCAGTTAGAGCACTTGCTTATTGGGTTTGGTTCCAAGTAACTACATGGTGGCTCAAAACCACCTAACTCCAGTTCCAGTTCTAGCAGACTTGGCACCCTCTTCTGGCCTCTGCAGGTACTGGGTACATACACACATGTGGACAACATATGCATAAAATTAAAAAAAATCAAGACTAGAAAAAAATTCCCAATGGGTAACTTAGATGCCAAGATAGATAACTTTGCCATGTAGGCTATCACTCAAAAATAAAGTCCTAAGAAGAAGTGACATATAACCTGGGTGCCTCCCTGAAAACTAACATCAGCTACCAACTGTAAGAACCTGTTCTTAAAGGAGTCAAGATCATGACGGGGAAACCCACAGAATCAGCTGACCTGAGCTGAGCTAGTAGGAGCTCACTGACTCTGGACTGACAACTGGGGAACCTGTATAGGACTGAACTAGGTTCTCTGAATGCAGGTGACAATGGTGTGGCTTAGGCAGTATGAAGAGCCACTGGCAGTGGGACCAAGATCTAACCAAAATGCATGAACTAACTGTGGAGCCCATTCTCTATAGAGAGATACCTAACTCAGCCTAGGCATAGCGGATGAGGGGAGGGCCTTGATCCTGCCTCAGTGAGGTGATGGGACAAACTTAGTTGACTTCTCAGGGGAGACCTTACCCTCTGAGGAGCGGGTGGGGTGGGGGAAGATGGGAGGAACAGAGTGGGAACAGAGGGGGAACTGGATTGGTATGTAAAAAAATAAAAACCCCCTGAATATTGTGACAATCCTAAAACATGTCATGTCTTCGTTTGCCTAGAGGCCCCAGACGACCTTACCTTCCCCGAGTTTCATCAGTCGAGGTGCTTTCCTAGAGTAGTTAGAATCGAAAGGCTTGTCCATGTGCTCCAGGTACGCAGAATATTTCACTAGGGCAAAGGGAGAAAAGCGCAGTGTGAGGAAAACATTACAAAGACATCCCCAGAACCATCACATCAACACCACAGGGAAACACAGCAATTAGCAGGGTTATGTCTATAACCCCAGCACTTGGGAAGCAGAGATAGGAGCACCCGACACAGGAGTCCCTGTCTAGGATAAAAGAAGAATTAAATGAGTTTCAACTGCCCGGCGCCCAGATCCACAGGAAAGCTCTTGTGGTATTCTGAATCTCTCTCAGTCCTGAGGTTCAAGGGCTCTCCTGATGAATCTCAGCTCTCTGTTCACAGTGGCATAAAGGGGAGATCAGGAACATACTTTTTTTTTTTTTTTTTTTTTTTTTTTGATTTTCAAGACAGGGTTTCTCCGTAGCTTTTTGGTTCCTGTCCTGGAACTAGATGAGGCTGGCCTTGAACTCGCAGAGATCCGCCTGCCTCTGCCTCCCACCACCTCTGCGCCACCACCGCCTGGCCTCATGCTTTACTTCTTAAAACCCTGAGGCAGGCAAGGGTAGCAGCCATTTGTCAGCCCAGATCTGCAGAAGCTAAGGCAGGCAGAGTGCCAGTTTAAGGCTGGCCTGGAATATAGATCCTATATTTGGAAAAAAAAAAAAGCAAGACTGGGCTTGGTGGCACATGCCTTTAACCCCAGCGATGAGGCAGAGACAGGTGGATTTCTTTTTTTTTTTTTTTAAAGCTTTATTTAACCTTATTTCATGTACATTGGTATAATGATGTCAGATTCTCTGGAACTGGAGTTACAGACAGCTGCAAGCTGCCATGTGGGTGCTGGGAATTGAACCCCGGTCCTCTGTAAGAGCAATCTGTGCTCTTAACCACTGAGCCATCCCGCCAGACCATGGATTTCTGAGTTTAAACTTAGCCTGGTCTATATATGTCCTGGTCTACATATGGAGCTACAGGCCAGCCAGGGCTACAGAGTGAGACCCTGTCTCAAAAACTAACAAAAAAAAAAAAAAACAAAACAAAGGCCGGATGATAGTGGCACAGGCCTAATAATCCAAGCACTTGGGAGGCAGAGGCAGGTGGATCTCTGTGAGTTCAAAACCAGTCTGGTCTACAGAGTGAGTTCTAGTACAGGTTCCAAAGCTACTTAGAGAAAACCTGTCTCCACAAACCAAAAACAAACAAATAAAACAAAGGCTGGGGGTGTAGCTCAGTTGGTAGAATGTTTGACTAGCATGTATGAGGCCCAGAGTTCCATCCCCAGCACCAGATAGACCAGGCATGGTGGCATAAATGAGCAATCTCAACAGTTGGGGGGTAGAGGCAGGAGGATCAGAAGTTCTAGTCATCTTTGGCTACATAGGATTTTGAGACTGTTTCTCAAAGAGCAAACCTTCTCCATTCAAGAGAAGCACATCCAGTCCTTTAAAATGCCATATTTTGGAAAAATGCAACCAATTACCTGAAGACACCTAGGTTCTAGGTTCAGTCCCCAGCACCTTGAAACAAGGTGTCATGAAGTCCATTTGGAACCAACACAACTCACGCGCCAAGTCAATGCAGAAAACAGAAATGTATTGTAATCAAGCCACTGCTGAGCAGTCAGGGCCGCAGAACAGACTGCAGCTGACCCCAGCCAGAATGTTAGAGCTTTTAAGCCTGGAGAGCACAAACATCTGTGCCAAATTACAGCTGCGTTTGTCCACCAATCAGGATCCAGGAATAGGGGGTCTGTCCTAGGAACATCTGTTCTGTGGCACACTGACCATATTCTCATTGGCGGGTTTACTCAAGTGCAGCGGGGTGGCCTGCCCACCACTCATGTCTCACATTGCCAACCAGGACGTCAGTTACCCAGCCAGGTCTGGAGAGATCTTGGCAACTTAAATTTTATTTAACCCTTACTCAAAACGGAAGTTCCATCCACAATGGCTTCAGTTTGGTTCCTTGTTACAAACGAATGCTCTAAACCAACCAGGAAGATCGGTGTACACGGTTGTGATGCCAACACCTGGGATGTAGGGGAAGGATCGGGACTTCAGGGTCATCCTCTGGTACACAGGAGGTTGGAATTCGGTCTGCGCTATTTTTGTGCCCGTGTTTCAGGAACAAAACAAAACAACATAGGTAAACAGCAGGGCTGGGGATGGAACTCAGCTGGCGGTGGTTTGCCTAGCATGCTCAAGCCCCTGGGCTCTGTCTCGGGCACCACATAAAATGAAGTCCTGCCCACCCGTAATTTCAACACAGTGACAAGTGTCAGGAATGCTGGGCGGTGGTGGCGCACGCCTTTGATCCCAGCACTCGGGAGGCAGAGGCAGGCGGATCTCTGTGAGATAGAGGCCAAGGCCAGCCTGGTAACAGACTGAGTTCCAGGACAGGCTCCCCCCCAAGATGAATGAATGAATGAATGAATGAATGAATGAATGAATGAAAGAAAGGTGTGAGGCGTTCAAGGTCATCCTCAGCCTACACAAGACCGTTAGGGGGCCAGTCGGGGTTGCATAAACAGTTTCCCAGGGACGAAACGCGGCCTAGTGGCCTCCGTACCCAGCACGGAGGCATCGGGCGTCACGGGATCGCCGGCGCCCTCGCGGATGATGTCCTTCAGCACACCTCGGTCCCCAGAAATGTCCAGCATCCGCTGGCTCAGCCGCTCATAGGGAGACTGGAAGAGAGAAAGCCACAGGCCTCAGGCGCGGCAGCCACGGGCTCGCCACCCGGGCCGGCGTCCCGCTCCCGCCCTCACCTGGCCCGGGACTTCGCCTCCTTCCGGGGCTCCCGGACCGCGGGTGCTGCCACCCATGGCCGCGATCCGACTGCTCCCCGGCTCGTGCCCCCAGGTCCCCGACCCCCCCGCTCCGTACCTGGCAGTCGTCGCGCGACGGCGGGATTCCGTTCCTGAGGCGCGAGAAGACGCTCATCTTGCCGCTCAACGGTCACCAAACGCCTCGCCGGAAACAAGCCCGGAAGTGAGGCGCGGGCGCGTGTAGTGCACGAGAAGCACACGTGATTGATGCCGTGGGCATGCGCCGAGGCGTCTCCCAGCATGCGCCACACACGGAGCAGCGGAGCGGAGAGGCTGGAGCAAAGCCTGATGGGGGCTCGAAGGCTAGGCTCAGAGCCTTTCTTTATGGTTCTGTCTTGTCACAGGTGGAACAGATCGCCACATTAGTGACTTACAGCGACACCGGCCTTTTAGCCTCAGGTGCGAATAGTTAGCTGTCAATAACTTATTTTTGTGTGATACTGAGGATTGCATGTGGTCAGTAATAACAAGTGTCCCAATGCTGGACAGCATCCCCGTAGATGCCCGTCTCTCAACAGCGCGTCCAGCCCTTTCACTGAGGAGTCTAAGCAGGCTCTCTGCTGCTGAGCTATGTCCTTGACCCAAAACTTCACCTTTTCTTTAAAAACGTATTTATTCATTTGTTTTTTCAAGACAGGGTTTCTCTGTGTAGCCCTGGCTGTCCTGGAACTCACTGTAGACCAGGCTGGCCTCCGGAGTGCTAGGATTCAAGGTATGTGTGCCATCACAATTGGCTCCAAGACTTCAGAATTTGAAAGTTCGTAATTTAGTGACATTTATGGAAAGGAGCCTTATGTCAAAGAGTACAACGCCTCAGATTCTCAAACAGTGGACTGAGTTAGGGGTGTAATTTGGTGATAGAGACCTTTTGCAGCATGCTCGCGACCCTGGTTCTAGCTCCCAACAAGACAAGAAACAAACGAGGCCAGGCAAGATGGCCAAGTGGGCAAGGTGCTTGCCACCAACCCTGACAACCAGGGCCCGCAGGTGGAAGGAGAGAACAGACTATTGCAGGTTGTCCTCTGCCCTCCCCATGTATAAGGGGGCCTGTGCCTGCAAACACACAGTAGATGTTAAATAAATAAAGGCAGCTAGTGTCCCATTCCCACGCTCACTGGGCCCAGGGTTTCATCCCCTTCCAGAACAGTCACCGTCTTGATTGGGAGCCTGGACTGGCAGGGGACAAGGGACTGACACCGGAAATGCTCTACAATTTGATCTGTCTTGTTTTGCTTTTGAGACAGTCTCAGGAGGCCCAGGATGGCTTTGAACTTGTGTACCTGAGGATGAATTTGAACCTCTGGCCTACTGTCAGCACTTCCCAAGTTCCAGGATTACAGGTATTCACTAGCCTGTTCAGTTTACACACTTGAGAGTGAACATACACAGGTAAGATATACATCACTACATCACACTGTGAGGTTAAATCTGTTTATGTCGGGGACTGGGGAGATGGCTTGTAGCGAGCTGCATGGAATCACACCTGATGGAGATGTATAATCAACTCCTATGGCTAAAGTCTGACTTACGCCTGATCACGCAATGATCATCAGCTGTTTGCATATGTGTGGGCCTATGTGAGAGCCCACCTGGCAATCCGGGATTGGCAGCCCATGCCTACTTAAGGGCTGGGAGAGGTTTGCCCGGGGAGAGAGGGGAAGAGAGAAAGAAAGTGAATAAAATCCTGGAATAAACTGCAGTGAGAAGAGCTCTGGTGTGCCGCGCGTCATCCTTGTGGGTCGAGGGTGGCCGTGACAAGGGCTCAGAGGTTAAGAGCACTGGCTGCTCTTCCAAGGACCTGAGTTCAGTTCCCAGCAACCACATGGTGGCTCACCACCATCTACAATGAGATATGGTGCCCTCTTCTGGTATGCGGAACACTGTATTAATAAACAAATCTGTTTATATTACACCTCAAATGAAAATAAAATCAGAATAAGCAGTGTTTTTTCATTGTTTTGCATACACACACACACATCTCATCCTAACCTACAAAACGAGAAAATCTAATAAATAAAATACCTTTAAAATTCTCTGTGTGTGTAGGGGGGTGGTAATTCAGAAACATGCCTGTCATAGCACATAACCTGCTCTGATTTGGAGTTCTTAAGTACAGAAGGCATGCTTGCTTGCCCCTCCCCCATCCTGGGCAAGGCCACTATCTGCCTGTCTAGGTTATCAGCAAGGACCCAGCAGAGGCTGCCGCCTCAGTCTCGTGGCGTGACCCACTTTCCACCTGATTCTGGATGACCTTGGGGACACAGGTGTTGCTGGGAAAGGGGAGGGAAGAGGAGAAGGGGCGGACACCAGGCAGTGGAAGCTGTGTCCAGCTGGGCACCTCGGGTCTGTGTGTCAGCTGTCCCATTCTGGGAGGAAGAAAAGGCTTGCGGGAGCAGACCGAGCTGCTGGTTTGAGACCCCCGTGGGAGGCCTAGTGACCACAGGAGATCAGGTAATGCAATAGTGGCAGTGGGGACAGGGCTGCTCTCGTGGTCAGTGGAGACCTCATTTCTGTTTCCATAGGGAGCAGGTGGGAGATGAGTACCAAAGCCTCCCCATCCCAGACTCTCGGTGGATAATGTTGTTCTGGGACAAGGGACTTGGCCCTTGGTGCTGGAGATGTAGCTAGTGACTAGGTACTGACTTGCCAAATATGCTTGAGGCCCAGGGTTTTATACCCAGCACTGTATAAAGCAGGTGTAGTGGGGCATACCTATGATCCCAGCATTCCCTGTGTTCTACACCCAGCACTGTATAACCCGATGTAGTGGGAGCATACCTATGTTCCCAGCATTCCTAGTTCTCCAATCCCAGGTGGAGGAGGAGGGTCAGGGGTTCAGTTTCATCTGTGGCTACATACAACATTCAATTCTGTAACCGCTTACATGAACCTTATCTCTAAAGAAAAAAATTAACAAACAATCTTGCTTTAAGATTGCCTGGGTGGGAGCTGGGCGGTGGTGGCGCACGCCTTTAATCCCAGCACTCGGGAGGCAGAGGCAGACGGATCTCTGCGAGTTCGAGACCAGCCTGGTCTACAAGAGCTAGTTCCAGGACAGGTTTCAAAACCACAGAGAAACCCTGTCTCGAAAAAAACCAAAGGAATATATATATAGATTGCCTGGGTGGGCTGGGTGGTGATGGCACACACCTTTAATCCCTGCACTTGGGAGGGATGGGCAGGTGGATTTCTATTAACTCAAGACCAGCTGGGTCTACAGTGAGTTCCAGAATAGTCAGGTCTACACAGAGAGATGCTCTCTTGAAAAATAGAGAGAGAGAGAGAGAGAGAGAGGAGACTCCTTCTTAAAGTAGAATCTTGCTTAAAGTAAGACTCCTTCTTAAAGTAGAATCCTTGAAGCTGGGACTATGGAATCTCTATGACAGTTTAGTGAAACCCTGTCTCAAAATAAAAAGGGGAGGGGCACTAAAAAAAAGAAGAAGGTAAAGAGAAAGCTGAGTGAGGCTTTACTTTATCAGTAGAGTGCTTGCCCGGTGTGTGCAGGGCCCTGTGTTCAATCCCCGATGCTGGGGGAGGGGGTCATATCTCCATGTGACTTTTGTGGTGCTGGGGATGGAACCCAGGACCTCGTGTGCTGGGAAAGTGGCTGTACCTCTCTGAGTTACCCTCCCAGTTGAGTATATCCAGACCCATAGTGACCATTTTTTTCCATTTAAGTCCTTTTTATTTTCTGGATGGGGAAACTGAGGCTGAAGGTCATAGTGGGTCGAGGTCGCAATCCAGGGCTGGCATCCTCCCTAAGCTTTCAGCATCTCTTGGATTGGGGGCAAAAAAGGACAAGGGGAGGGAGTGGCAGGATAGAAGTGGCCGCCACCTGTGTTGCAGCTGAACTGTGTGCATGGCGTGGCGAGTGACTGTGCCCGAGCTACAGGACCAGCTGCAGTGTCCCATTTGCCTGGAGGTCTTTAAGGAGCCCCTGATGCTACAATGCGGTCATTCCTACTGCAAAGACTGCCTGGACTCCTTGTCCCAACACCTGGACTCCGAGCTGCGCTGTCCCGTGTGTCGTCAGTGGGTAGACTGCAGCAGCTCCCCGCCTAACGTTTCCTTGGCGCGGGTGATCGATGCCCTGAGGCTCCCGGGAGACACGGAACCCACCGTCTGCGTGCACCACCGAAACCCTCTCAGCCTCTTCTGCGAGAAAGACCAGGAATTCATCTGTGGTCTCTGCGGCTTGCTGGGCTCCCACCAACACCACCGAGTCACACCTGTCTCCACCGTCTACAGTCGCATGAAGGTGCGAGGGGAGGGCGGGCCGCTGGGCGGGGGAGGAGCGGAGCCAGGGGCAGCTCTCCTGAGCTCTCTTGCGCCGCCACTCGGTGGAAGAAGTCTACTGTACCAAGGCTCCATTACACACATTCAACTCCTTGGGAGCCTATGCCCAACAAATACAAGCATGCGTTCATTCATTGGGTTTTAACGTTGATTTGTTTATTGACTGTGTGCACCGTGTACCATGGCATGCAGAATCAAAAGACAACTTGTGGAAGTCAGTTCTCTCCTTCCATGCGGGGCCTCATTCATTGATTTGGAGCAGCTGCTTATGCCAGGTGCTGGGGATCACGGCTGCAGGAATGAAGGGGAGTCCCTCCGCCTTCACCCTCTTTTTCTTTGCATCTCTGGCTTATTTTATTTTGTTTTGCTGACTGTGCTAGATACGGAACTCAAGGCTCAGTGTATAGCTTAAGCAGCACTCTAGCCCGAAGCGACATCACCAGGTCTCCTTCAGTTCAGTGGGATGTTTGTGGTTCAGTGGTTCGTCTGAGGCAGGGTTTTAGTATTGGCAGCTCAGGCTGGCCTTGAACTCACTGTGCAGCCCAGATTGGCCTTCGGCTCTACATCTTCTTGTCTTATTCTTCACAGAGCTGAGATTACAGGCATGCACCGGCATTGATTTTTTTTTCTTTTTACAGTTTTTATTCATGTCTGTGTGGACACACGTGTGCATGTGTGTGGAGGTCAGGGGACAACTTCCAGGAATCTGTTCTCTTCTCCCACCACGTAGGTCCCAGGATCCAAACGCCAGGCTGCATCTGCTGAGCCCTATCATTGGCCTGGCTTCTTGAGAGCTCCTAAGTCTGTCTATTCACCAGCACGAGGGCGGGACCTGTGTTCCCTGCTGTGTTTCAGGGGCTACAGCAGCGGTTCTCAACCACTGTGGGTCACGATCCCTTAGGGTGAACCTGCCCTTTCACAGGGCTTGCCTATTAGATATCCTGCATAGCAGATGTTTCCATTATGATTCTAAGA